TAGGTGTATGTATGGTTGATAACTTTCCTAACAATTTCAACACTTCAAACAAAAAATGTGTTTTTACTTGCATCATATGAATTTTTCTTGGATTATGTAGATTGAATACCAGATGGGCAGAGAAGGGTCCATATCATGACTTCTCTTTTGTAATAAGGTGATAGATACATAGCTCCCAAGAGGGTTTGATCCAGACAACAAACTTGATGCCAGAGTTGGCAAATAAGATTGAAACTGCCCTGCTCCCATGCAATGACTTAATTACCTACATTGTCAGTTGTTGTCCAGGTGATCAGATGTACATTTTGGAGATATAAAAGATCACCAGTCTTGTTTCAATTTGTATATGGCCATTTTCTTCTTGTCATACTTTAGTTAGATACACAATGTAAATTTGAGTTCTTGAACTATATTTCAGTTTGATGTTACGATTCTGTTTAGTGTTGTGTCGTGTTGTGCATATACTGTTGAATGATAAGGTTTCAGAGGAGTATCCAGGATCTTGAGGGGCAGTGGTGTGGCCTAGTTAAAGCATTTGCTCGCCACACTGAAGGTTCAGGTTCTATTACCACATGGGTACAATTTCTGGTGTCCCCCGTCGTGATATTGCTGGAATATTGCTAAAAGCGGCGTAAAACCAAACTCACTCCATGATTTTGAAAGAAGGGGTGCAAACATTACCCAAGTTATGAAGTGAACAAAAACACATTATAGTTAGGCATGATAGGTGTCTGAGAAAAGGAGTGGTGTGCACCCCTGCAGCTTCCTCTAGATCCACCAGTGAACTTTGTGTGTGTGTCTGTGAACCACGGGCTACTGTTACATTAGTAACAGTTTGGAGGGACGTGCTGGAATAATGTTGTACATACTGATATGTCAAGGATCTTTGTTTAGACTAAGTCATGTAAACACTGACTTGTCGAATGGATGTCGACCTACACCATACATTTATAGCTGTCACTGTTGGGAAAATACCTGCAATAAAGTGATTTTCAGTAATATCATTCTTTGTCTTGTCAGTTTCTGTTTCTCATTGTACGTGTGAATGATGTGTGCCACTGTCGGCAATATTCCGCTTTATCATGGCAGCATGGAAATATTAAAGTCTGGACCAGGCAGACCAGTAGGTGAAGGTGTGATCAAAAATCCTTGCTATTAAAGTGCCTGGCTTAGGTGATTGTGTGGTGTTATATCCTGGGTGTTTGCAATGTGTGGCTTAGGTGATTGTGTGGTGTTATATCCTGGGTGTTTGCAATGTGTGGCTTAGGTGATTGTGTGGTGTTATATCCTGGGTGTTTGCAATGTGTGGCTTAGGTGATTGTGTGGTGTTATATCCTGGGTGTTTGCAATGTGTGGCTTAGGTGATTGTGTGGTGTTATATCCTGGGTGTTTGCAATGTGTGGCTTAGGTGATTGTTTGGTGTTATATCCTGGGTGTTTGCAATGTGTGGCTTAGGTGATTGTGTGGTGTTATATCCTGGGTGTTTGCAATGTGTGGCTTAGGTGATTGTGTGGTGTTATATCCTGGGTGTTTGCAATGTGTGGCTTAGGTGATTGTGTGGTGTTATATCCTGGGTGTTTGCAATGTGTGGCTTAGGTGATTGTGTGGTGTTATATCCTGGGTGTTTGCAATGTGTGGCTTAGGTGATTGTGTGGTGTTATATCCTGGGTGTTTGCAATGTGTGGCTTAGGTGTTTGTGTGGTGTTATATCCTGGGTGTTTGCAATGTGTGGCTTAGGTGATTGTGTGGTGTTATATCCTGGGTGTTTGCAATGTGTTGCTTAGGTGATTGTGTGGTGTTATATCCTGGGTGTTTGCAATGTGTGGCTTAGGTGATTGTTTGGTGTTATATCCTGGATGTTTGCAATGTGTGGCTTTAGTGATTGTGTGGTGTTATATCCTGGGTGTTTGCAATGTGTGGCTTAGGTGATTGTGTGGTGTTATATCCTGGGTGTTTGCAATGTGTGGCTTAGGTGATTGTGTGGTGTTATATCCTGGGTGTTTGCAATGTGTGGCTTAGGTGATTGTGTGGTGTTATATCCTGGGTGTTTGCAATGTGTGGCTTAGGTGATTGTGTGGTGTTATATCCTGGGTGTTTGCAATGTGTGGCTTAGGTGATTGTGTGGTGTTATATCCTGGGTGTTTGCAATGTGTGGCTTAGGTGATTGTGTGGTGTTATATCCTGGGTGTTTGCAATGTGTGGCTTAGGTGATTGTGTGGTGTTATATCCTGGGTGTTTGCAATGTGTGGCTTAGGTGATTGTGTGGTGTTATATCCTGGGTGTTTGCAATGTGTGGCTTAGGTGATTGTGTGGTGTTATATCCTGGGTGTTTGCAATGTGTGGCTTAGGTGATTGTGTGGTGTTATATCCTGGGTGTTTGCAATGTGTGGCTTAGGTGATTGTTTGGTGTTATATCCTGGATGTTTGCAATGTGTGGCTTTAGTGATTGTGTGGTGTTATATCCTGGGTGTTTGCAATGTGTGGCTTAGGTGATTGTGTGGTGTTATATCCTGGGTGTTTGCAATGTGTGGCTTAGGTGTTTGTGTGGTGTTATATCCTGGGTGTTTGCAATGTGTGGCTTAGGTGATTGTGTGGTGTTATATCCTGGGTGTTTGCAATGTGTGGCTTAGGTGATTGTGTGGTGTTATATCCTGGGTGTTTGCAATGTGTGGCTTAGGTGATTGTGTGGTGTTATATCCTGGGTGTTTGCAATGTGTGGCTTAGGTGATTGTGTGGTGTTATATCCTGGGTGTTTGCAATGTGTGGCTTAGGTGTTTGTGTGGTGTTATATCCTGGGTGTTTGCAATGTGTGGCTTAGGTGATTGTGTGGTGTTATATCCTGGGTGTTTGCAATGTGTTGCTTAGGTGATTGTGTGGTGTTATATCCTGGGTGTTTGCAATGTGTGGCTTAGGTGATTGTTTGGTGTTATATCCTGGATGTTTGCAATGTGTGGCTTTAGTGATTGTGTGGTGTTATATCCTGGGTGTTTGCAATGTGTGGCTTAGGTGATTGTGTGGTGTTATATCCTGGGTGTTTGCAATGTGTGGCTTAGGTGATTGTGTGGTGTTATATCCTGGGTGTTTGCAATGTGTGGCTTAGGTGATTGTGTGGTGTTATATCCTGGGTGTTTGCAATGTGTGGCTTAGGTGATTGTGTGGTGTTATATCCTGGGTGTTTGCAATGTGTGGCTTAGGTGATTGTGTGGTGTTATATCCTGGGTGTTTGCAATGTGTGGCTTAGGTGATTGTGTGGTGTTATATCCTGGGTGTTTGCAATGTGTGGCTTAGGTGATTGTGTGGTGTTATATCCTGGGTGTTTGCAATGTGTGGCTTAGGTGATTGTGTGGTGTTATATCCTGGGTGTTTGCAATGTGTGGCTTAGGTGATTGTGTGGTGTTATATCCTGGGTGTTTGCAATGTGTGGCTTAGGTGATTGTGTGGTGTTATATCCTGGGTGTTTGCAATGTGTGGCTTAGGTGATTGTGTGGTGTTATATCCTGGGTGTTTGCAATGTGTGGCTTAGGTGATTGTGTGGTGTTATATCCTGGGTGTTTGCAATATGTGGCTTAGGTGATTGTGTGGTGTTCTATCCTGATGACATCAACACTCCAATCTGCCAATCATAGAACCGGCTTCTTGATTTGTTTCAGTTGGCTGTCATGACAAACAGGCTTCTGAGGTCCAATACTGTCCCAGAATTCCCACAAACATAGGTTTCATAGGACTTATTCTACCCCGGAATTTGCATAAACATAGGTTTCAAAGGACCAATTTCTCGTCCATAATTCCCACAAACATCTTTCTGAGGGCCAATCAAGCTCCAGAATTTATACAAACATTGGTTACTTAGGACCAGGTCTACCAAGGAATTCCCCCAAACAGGTTTCTGAGACCATTTCTACCCAGGAATTCCCTAAAACAGGTTTCTGAGGACCTATTCTACCCAGGAATTCCCCACAGGGCTTCCCTGGATCCACAAATTCCATGTGGATCAATTATCATATGCCATCCACCACTGCTTGATTATTTACGGGCTTCCATGCATCATGATTGATTTCTATTTTTCTGAGTCAGAAATGAGGGGGTTTGAACAATTGTAAACTTGATTACCAGTGCAGTGAACAGTTACACACAAGTTAGTATGCAAGGGCATGACATGATTTATACCAGGAGTGGGTGTATAAAAGACAAGTTTTGGGTTCAGACTGACCTGACAAGATTCAAAAGCCACACTTAGAAAACAATAGAAATAGATGTACTGGTAGTCAAAAATTATATTTTATTTGCCTGACTGCTCTGTTTGATGGATTATAAAACTAAAAAAAAAAGAAAAAAAAAAAGAATCTCTCTAAATAATAATTGATATATGCATTGTGGATAGTCTCTGAACACTACAAACCTAAAAAGGGAACAAAATCTCAGAAGTAAATACATAGATATTTTCATGGAAAATTACAACAAATACTGCAGTATAAATAGATCTAATGTTTATTTTTTTAAAAAAGCTTATCTACTGACTTAAGCAACTTCATTCCTGATAAAACTGGTTGGTAGAGAGAGGGATGCGGGTTGGGGGTTGGGGGTTGGGGGGATTATTTGTTCTCAGATTGTGCCCCCCAAAATTAATTGCTCGTTGGCCATGTTCTATGCCCTGAACACGTGTGGAATAGAGATAAACACAAACACGCACACATTATTATGTGTTTATAAATGGTTTATTGGATGAATACGGTATACAAGAAAAGAGGGATTTTCAAAGAATCGACTGGTTTAGCCAACCATGTCGCATAAATAATACGTCAAATACTACAGTCATTGTAGGGATTACTATTTTCAGCACACGACTCCAATTATACATCCATAAAACGCAGGCTGTAATAATTTAATATTTTCACGGTAGCTAAATACCGCAATTATCCAACATTAAATTCATATTTACAATCACAATTTTTCTATCAGCAAAATCATGCGTATCTTTAATAGCCTCAACTATATACGGACCATTTAATAGAGCCATTCCATACACGGACCTCAACACTTTATCTGCATGTCGGAAAGTTTATGTCCACGTGTCGGAGTCGAGTTTTCAATGACCGTCTCCTTTTATCTCCCAGCTGAGAACATAAACATTCACAAATTCTTGCACGATGGCAAGTCACGTGACCATGGCGTGAGGAATTTCAAGCAACGGCAGTTAACATCCCGGCGACGAGTGGTCCGCGTGCGAAGGTCAGTGGAACATGTTTTAATTGAGATGATAAATACTGTTGGTGGTTGCAACCTAACCCTGTGTATTTAAAGTAATACTTATTTTGATAAGACGTATTAATGTCATTTAAAAATATAAGTCTATTAAACGTGTGCGCGGTAAGAAACATCCATATCTCTGAAACCAGAGACTATATAACAGATCTAGTATATGGTCTCTGCTGAAACCAGTGAAGGAAGAAAAAATAACGCCCCGAACTATACGTAGCACCTACTGTAAACGATTTTAGGAAAACAGATTATCTATATATCTATACAGTCATGGTCATACAATAAGACCTCCTTGGTCTAGTAGATAGTGCGTCCGTCTGGAGAGCGGAAAATCAGCGGTTTGATCCCCGGTCGCGTCATACCAAAAAAACTTAATAGATAATACTTGTTTCTCTGCCTGGCGCTCGGCATTAAGGGGATAAAAGCAAGGAATGGTTAACTCGGAGTCAGTATACTATGTCTAAGCGGGGTATCCATCATAAACTGCGGCATGGCATTTCAGTGGGCTAGCACCATAACACCTCGGCATAAGGACTATCGGCAGCACAAGTGCATGCACATCTGAGCTGGGATAATCACCATAGAGAATTGTATGTGCGGCATGCAACTATGTATTTAACCGACAAACAGTGAAAAAGAACAAAATCACCTGCACTTATTGTGTTTTTTATTTTAACTCCGCTTTGCAAAGTGTGCCAATGACAATGCTACCGACTCGATGTCCGCCATCGTCGCTAAAAATAGCAGCGTTTAATAAGTGGTAACGCGGAACTAAAACGGAATACAATTATTTCTTTTATTCATATCGCTTATGAATAAGTGCAAATTCGTATGAAGAATGTCGTATTGCTTATTATCTGTAATTACTACCCATTGCCATGTTTAATTTCCAACCATGATATCACTCCCAAATGTATTATTTGATTGTCTATCATATCATAACCTAAAATATCATGTCTAGTTCGTGAGGTGGTGACATGTTTAATAATACAGTCTTCTCTTAAACAGCTATCTTGGCCACTCCTGGCAAAACTGTGCATTAGCATGTATTCTGATCAATTTGCATGATCCTTTGAAAATGTTGTACGATGGTTGTCAGTCATTGCTTATTTTGAACAATGAAAGCAAAAAATATTTTCGAAACCAAGTTTTTTTTAGTTTGTCTGGATCTCTCTCAAAGACAGATGCCTCAAAATGCAAGGAACACAGAATGGCATGTCCAGTCGGTTTCCATTTCTTTTATCCATGCTGACATCCCTGTATCCAGAGACCATATATCGGAATATGGTCTCTGCTGTATCCAAACTTTCCTCCTCGCTAAATCGGCCTTTTCGCATGGAAATTTAAATAAATGACACTTGTTACTTTCGTTTGATGAACTGGTACATCCCCACGCGGGATATTCGCAGGACCACTACAACTGGCACTACTACAATAGTTACAACACCCTCTAACACTTTTATTACTAATACAACAACAACAACGCCCCCTACTACACAACAATCTAATAATCAACAACCATGACAAGCACAACACCTACCACTACAGCTAGTAACCCAAAAAATGCTACTAGTTTATGTCTACAACTACTACTGCTACAACTACTAATACCAGTATTGTATATAGAGATTCAACAGTAAAGGGCATTCAGTATTCATTTTATTGAGAAGGTTTCTGGTTATATTCAAATATAACCGTAAACAAACTCTTTGACATTTCGATCTCATTTCGTATCCGCGCGCACAAACACAGACGTACAGTAAAGTCTTTGACTTGTTTGGTGTTGTCACAGCACAACATGTAAACAGTGAGTGTTGGAAACAAATAATCAACAGACTGAAATTCAATAGTCAAAATAAAGAATCTTTTGCATGGTATTATCAGGTGTAAAGTTGTAAACATTCAACATATGAAAGAGTTAAAATTTACAAGAACTTCGATATGCCCTCCTTTGTTGTTCGATATGCCCTCCAAATAATGTTGGTGTTAACACCGGGCCTGGGACACGAATTGACTGAAAGTCAAATCAAAGCAACAGTAAGAGTTATCCTCCCTTCACAACTTGATCAAGGTGGTCGCCTTATCCTCCCAGTAGAAGGCCAAGTGGCTGAAGTTTCTATGATAAGATATTTATTTTAAAGATTAGACTGTAAAGGTAAGTGATTGTACCTTTGCTTTATTACAGTTGTGAAGGGGTCGAAGCTTGTTTTAAACTATGTAGTTTCATATACAAAGTAATTATCAACGTGCATGTTTATCACGGGTTTGAAATGTAAATGGCAATCATCAGCAAACCAAAACTGTCAAGATTCCAATACATTTATGCCACTTCTGGTCAAGGGGATGTGAGTAATATTATAGTAAAAATATTCTTAAAATAAGCAATATTAACTCATTGCATTTAGATTCTGCTCACAAGTTTGCAATATCTATTACTATCAACATCCAATAAGAACTTCATAAGATTCCATTGATTGTAGATTGTTAAGGTATTATCCCACTTCTGGATGAGGGGACATGAGTAATAATATAGTAAAAAATCTCCTAAAACTAGCTATATTCACCCATTGCATTCATATTCTGTTCACAAGTTTGAAATGTGAGTTACTATCGTCAGCCAAGAAGTAGGTCTATAGTAGTTACAGGGCGGGCTCTCTTCCTTTGTGGACCAAAACTTTCTGCAAGTACCAGTAACAGCAAAGGTGAGCATGCAGGTAATATTCCCTCTATCGGATGGCGATTCCGGCTTAGAACTGGTTCCCAGTAAATAATGCCTCGTGAGGGGCGACTAGGTTCTGTTTTTGGTTGATTGCGAGTCATCGTTCCTGTTGGCGTGGGACGTTGTTCATACTTAACCACTCGTTTGTCTGGCAGCCTCGATTACATGTACATATGTCGGGGTACATGACACACAATCAACCAAGTCACCAAGCATGCCAACTCAGTCTATCGATAGTCGTCCCACACCACAAGCGTAGCTGTGGGTATATTGTAAGCAATGTCCAACCTTGACAGTAACTATATCATTTCTGTAAGGTCCCTAGATTTTAATGGCACAGTTATATCAGTCTTACCTGTTAGTTTTAAATTTGCACACCAAACTTGTGAGCTTGCATTACCTGCATCATTTATATGTGATAGGGCAAAGTTAAGGTGGTGTTTCTGTTACAGGTTACTTGTATATAAGGGTAGATTGCCACTCTGAAACAATCAACATCCAGCTTGATGTGTTACTTCTTAGCACGTTTCTAAGCTTGCATTGACCTGCATCTACAGCATACAGAGCTATGTATAACATAATACATCCGACACAACCCCCTTTCGTTGTCTATCGTTCTGAGTGATGTATATACCATGTCCAATATACACACTCCCTCGCCTTTCATTCTGAGTGATGTATATAACATGTCCGATATACACACTCCCTCGCCTTTCATTCTGAGTGATGTCTATAACATGTCCTTTCATTCTGAGTGATGTATATAACATGTCCGATATACACACTTCCTCGCCTTTCATTTTGAATGACGCCTTTCATTCTGAATAATGTATATAACATGTCCTATATACACACTCCCTCGCCTTTCATTCTGACTGATGTATATAACATGTCCAATATACACACTTCCTCGCCTTTCATTCTGACTGATGTATATAACATGTCCGATATACACACTCCCTCGCCTTTCATTCTGAATAATGTATATAACATGTCCTATATACACACTCCCTCGCCTTTCATTCTGACTGATGTATATAACATGTCCAATATACACACTCCCTCGCCTTTCATTCTGACTGATGTATATAACATGTCCAATATACACACTTCCTCGCCTTTCATTCTGACTGATGTATATAACATGTCCGATATACACACTCCCTCGCCTTTCATTCTGAATAATGTATATAACATGTCCGATATACACACTCCCTCGCCTTTCATTCTGACTGATGTATATAACATGTCCAATATACACACTTCCTCGCCTTTCATTCTGAATAATGTATATAACATGTCCTATATACACACTTCCTCGCCTTTCCTTCTAAATAATGTATATAACATGTCCAATATACACACTTCCTCGCCTTCATTTTGAATGATGTATATAACATGTCCTATATACACACTTCCTTGCCTTCATTTTGAATGATGTATATAACATGTCCTATATACACACTTCCTTGCCTTTCCTTCTGACTGATGTATATAACATGTCCTATATACACACTTCCTCGCCTTCATTTTGAATGATGTATATAACATGTCCTATATACACACTTCCTTGCCTTCATTTTGAATGATGTATATAACATGTCCTATATACACACTTCCTTGCCTTTCCTTCTGACTGATGTATATAACATGTCCTATATACACACTTCCTCGCCTTTCATTTTGAATGACGCCTTTCATTCTGAGTGATGTATATAACATGTCCGATATAGGCACTTCCTCGCCTTTCATTCTGAGTGATGTATATAACATGTCCGATATACACACTTCCTCGCCTTTCATTCTGAGTGATGTATATAACCTGTTCCATATACACACTTCCTCGCCTTTCATTCTGAGTGATGTATATAACATGTCCGATATACACACTTCCTCGCCTTTCATTCTGAGTGATGTATATAACATGTCCTTTCATTCTGAGTGATGTATATAACATGTCCTTTCATTCTGAGTGATGTATATGACATGTCCTTTCATTCTGAGTGATGTATATAACATGTCCTTTCATTCTGAGTGATGTATATGACATGTCCTTTCATTCTGAGTGATGTATATAACATGTCCTTTCATTCTGAATGATATATATAACATGTCCTTTCATTCTGAGTGATGTATATAACATGTCCGATATACACACTTCCTCGCCTTTCCTTCTGAGTGATTATATAACATGTCCAATATACACACTCCCTCGCCTTTTATTCTGAATGATGTATTTAACAAGTCCGAT